TAAGTTTTTCACTTTCCCCTCCCTTTCATCATCCCCATTAATGGTCAGTGGCTTCCCTCTCTTGATGATTTCCAATTCATCCTATATAAAGCTTGTTTGTATGCAGTTGTTTTGAAGCTGTCTCTCCTCCATTAAATTATGAGCTTTGACAGGAGGAGATTGCCTTTTGTCTCTTTTTGTATTCCTTGCATTTAGCACAGTGCCTACCACATAGTAGACATATAATAAATACATATTTATTATCTTCCCTTCCTTCTCCCCTTCTCTCCCCCCCCAAAAAAAATCCAGAAGACTCCAGATCATATTCATGTGGAGTCATTCACACCAAGCTACCATAATGTGCAATTAGCATTGTATAAATTGAAAACAATATTCAGCAAGACAGCTGCATTATCAAAAATGCCAAAGGAATTTTGAAGGGAATAATGTGCATGTTAGAATAGAAAATTAATTTGAAAACGCAGTAGTAATATCTTCAAAGTTTCTGCATTTTAAAAAGAGAGTGTGTATATGCATGTTTGTGTCTGTGTACGTGTGTGTATAACTGTAGAAAACCATATGGAATTGATTTTATTTTCAGGGCCAACTATACGACCAACTTCTGAGGTCCTCTTCTTTTCAAATGATCTTAAAGGTCTCTACCAACTCTAACATGTCATAAGGTCTATTCAGCTCTATAAGTCTCTAGTTCTAATGGAATTATCTTCATTTTCATCCCTTTTTTTTGTTTTCCTTAGCTTCCTTCAAGTCTTAGCTAAAATCTCACCTTCTCCAAGAAGCCTTACCACATTCCCAATAATGTTTGTGCCTTTACTCTGTTGATTATCTCCAGTTTATCCTGTATTTATCATATTTGTACTTTTTTGCATATTTATATTGTGGACTTTATATATTATATATACACATATATATAATATATTATATTATGGACATTATAATGTGGACTGCTTGAGAGCAGGGAATATCTTTTGGCTTTCTTTGTATCCCGAGAGCTTAGCATCGTGCCTGGCACACAGTAGGTGTATAATAAGTGCATGTTGACTGATTCTAATGTCTCCATAGGTGTGTATAACTAATATTTCCTTTGAACCATCGCCTCCTTTTTGACTTCTTGATAGTAATAGAAATGATACTTAACATTGCTTTCATTTTCAAAGCACCATTTGAAATATCACAGGCACTAACTAATAAATGGAAAGGTATACACACTGCTTTTCTCTAGTACTGTAATCTTAAGGGCATTTGTACAGTAATCCAGTCTAAGCTGAAGAGCCAACCGTCTTTACTCGGTAACTGAAGCTAAATTGAATTAGGCCAGCAAGTATTTAGATGGGATTTTCTTGTCAACTAACTGGAATGTTTCTAGTATGAGGGAAGCAGAAGAAATAAGTCTTATTTAAAATTTATATTTTATGGGGCTCTAGGGCAACAAGAAATGTAATAAAAGTGTGTTGTTGTTGTTCTTTTTTTTTTCCTGGCAAGCTGAAAGGGGTAAGCTATTAATTTCTAGAGGCTCCGTACAGAAAGCTTTCAGAACATTTATATACCTTTAATAAATTCCTATTAAACACAGAAATTCTCATGATCTTTGGTAAAATAAGGAAGGTATACAGAAGCACAGATTTGGTATCAAAGGAGTGGCATAAATGAAAATCAAGGCCACAATCAAAAAAAGTTTGTTCAAGTTGGGTAGAAACTTCACTGTAGTAACTCCAACAAACTTCATTACTTAGGCCTTTCTTTTGTGGAAAGACATAACACCACATAGTAGTTAACACCTATGACCAAAATACTTGTAACATGGGGAAAGGGGTCATTTGTTAATAATTGGGTAGCCATTATTGTTGGGTTGTATCCAACTCTTTGTGACCGCATTTGGCAAAGATCCTAGGTTGCCATTTCCTTCTCCAGCTTATGTTACAGATGAGTAAACTGAGGCAAACTGGGTTAAGTGACTTGCCTACAGTAGCACAGCTAGTGTCTGAGGCTAGATTTAAATTCAGGAAGAGAAATTTTCCTGACTTCAGGCTGGGAACTCTATCCAATTTGCCACCTCACTCCCTTTGGGTGGCCATTGACAAGTTATTTAAACTCAATGGAGAAATTTGGCACAGTGGAAAGGGTGATGGACTTTGAGTTAGGAGGATCTGAGTTCTATCTGCTCCTATTTATAGTTGCCATGTGTCCCTGGGCAGGTATAACACAGTGGGAAAAAGCTGCTGACTCTGGAAGGCAAACTGGATTCAGATCCAACCTTTGATCCTTAACTACCTGTGTGAATTTTGCCAAGTCACATAACCTCCCTAGAATTGTCTCAGTTTCCTTACAAGTAAAATGGGTGTATTTGACTAGATGGGGTCCTTTCCAGGTCTAACTCTTTGACATTGGCTCACTCTCTCTGAGCCTCAGTTTCTTCATTTGTTAAATGAAGATAATAATAACAGTAATAGTTAGCTTAAAGGCTTTTGTATGTGTGGCTCCAAAGAGGTAATAGTATTTAAATGCTTGGTAAACCTAAAAATACTATATAGCACTTACTATTATTGGCCTAAGTTTTCTTATATGTAAAACAGGGATGATATTTCTACTACCTACCTCACAGGTTTGTCATGTGGAAAATTGTAATGGAAATCTTAAGAGTCTTATATGGCTTAATACAATGAAAATAGAGCAGGATTTGGAGTTATGAGACCTGAATTTGGGTCCTGGTTCTCCTGCTTACTACCTGTGTGACCCTGGGCAAGTCAATTAACTTCTCTGGGCCTTCTGTTCCTCCTTTTTTAAATGAAGGTTTGAACCAGATAACCTTGAAGCTCCTTTCCCAGCTCTCTGTATAGGATGCTGTTATAGTATCACAGAAAGAGAAAATAGAGGAAAGCAATGTGATATTTTGGTGCATTTGTGACAAGGAAAATTATTGATTATTAGAGACAGTAGTCTAGTTTTTTGTTTGTTTTTCAAAATCTGTCCAACAAACAAAAATGTTTGTCTTGACCAAATGGATAAAGAACATTTCTTAATTAGATTATGGCATTTTATTTAGACAGAAAAACCTTTAAAATGTATCTGCATACTGGGACAGATAATACTCATTCATGGGCAACAAGTTGGGCCAGGAGTTGATAGTAATAATAAGCATAGTGCTTGAAACGTAGTAGGTCCTTAATAAATTCTAATTGATTGAGCAGATGAAGACAATAGGCTGGATTGCTTTTGGGAAATAGCAAAGCTCTTTTAATATTCCAGCTTCCTGTTGAAACAAAGGCCCAGATCTTTAATACTAATATTCTACTCTATGACAGTAAGACAGAAGACAACAGTCCACAAGGAATTAAAATGTATACCACACACACTGATGGGTATCACATAAAGCAATAGAGAGGGATGCGGTGAACATGACTGGAATATAACCCAGGAAGAACTTTGAGGAGCAGAAGTAAAAGATACCATTAAGGAAATCTGTTTTAGGTAGAAAAGGTAGTCTGGTCTAGTCATGTGGCAAGGAAAAGTGATGACAGGTAGAAAGCATGAGTACTCTATTTGTATACTCACAATATTAAGGGAAAATGAGAAAGGAAAGTGGACTCCTGGTAGCAAACTTATGGGAAGACATAGTGTGAGTCACAGAATGTGCAAAGGCATGGAAGGGTTGCTCTCTGCATTATTGGAGGAAATTCCAAATCCATGAGAGCAAAGAGGTGTTTGAGTATTTTGAGTATTTTAATATCTAGAACCCAGTCTTTTCCTAAAAGCTGTCTTTTTTAGGGAAAAAAAAAGAAGCTACCATGAGATCAATAAGTTTGGAATAATAATGTAGTTGTTATCATCACCGTCATCATCATCATCATCATCATCATTGTTAATGCTACTACTACCTAACATTTCTATAGCACTTTAAAGTTTGCAAAATGCTTTATGTAAATTATCTTATTAAGAATAGTGACTGTTCTTAACTACATTCTGTTTTATAAATCAGTAAATAAGGTGAAGTGATGCTTATGCTGACAAATATTTTATTTTAAAATATGAACAAAAATGTTTTTAATTTTGACATTGCATTAACTGAATACTACATATGAATACTAACAGGTTTATATGAATTATAGGTCAGTAATCTGTATGAAAAATGAAAATTGACTATTTGATTCCTTTTATAGTAAGTTGCTTATTAGTTAAAAAAACAGCTAAATATTTCCTGATGATGGCATGTTTTTGAAGTAAAATTGCAATGTAATAATAATATAGCACTGAATTCGTGAGAGTAGAAGCTTCCAGTAGGCAAGGAGTATCTTTGTATGATTTAACTGAAGTTTTATACATTGCAGTGTTCAACAAGTAATTCCATGAGTATTGAGTCATTTACCACAACCACCCTCCCTGGTGGCTCCTTCTTCCCCTCTTCCCTGCCCCCCAGTAAAGTACATAGGAACAGAGATTTCTCATTTGTATACTATTTCTTAAACAGTCTTTGTCAGTATCTATATCATGTTTTTAATCATCAGCTTTTTTCTAATATTTCTCCCAAATAGGGATATATATGGAGTGTCCCTAAAGTTTTAGTTCAGTGTTAATAATATGTATGTAAAAAAAGGTTCTCGAGCCCTGATGGGCTTTACAGATTCATGGGCTTCTCAGGTTTGGATCAGAGTCACCAGAATTTGCAAGCAGATATAATACTGGTTTAATGTACTTATTTTTTAGTGGCCCATACATATATGTAGTTGGTCTCAGTACAGGAGAAATATCCCTGGATACTAAGACAAAATGTGCTCCAGGGTATTGTTTTTCACTTTTCTTGGCAGTTGTAGCTGCTGAAGCCACTGAAAGCTAAACCTGAGCTCTGCTTGGGGTAGTAGTACAAGTCAAAATTGAAATTTATACCAGGTGCTGTTCCTATAAATTTACATAAAAACAGTAAATAACCAGTGACATGACCAGGCAAGAAGTTATGCTGAAAACATGAGTTCACTGCAATGTCTTTTTTTTTTATTCAGTTATAGGTGCCCAACGAAGGAGAAGCCCCAGTGCTCTAGCCATTGAAGTATTTGAGGCACACCTGGGAAGCCACATTTTACAGGTAATAAAAAAATTAATTGTGCCTACATATGTACATATACATATATGTACATATATGTGTGTAGATGGACACACACATATATATTTTAACCAAGAAAAACCAACAGACATGGAGAGTGCCATTGTCTTTGAGTTCAGCTCTGTATTGGATTGTTGTTGTTTCTGCTTGGATTTATGAGATTCTTACAAATTCATTTTTTCTTCTTTTTAGAAAGTCATCACTTGAGAGTGTTAATGAGAAAGGGAGGGCAAGTATTATTTGTGCTGTAATAATTTAGATAAATTGTTCTATTTAATTGACTCGCACTGTATTAGCTGGCTGTTCACAGAATAATTGTGTGTTTAAAATGTGTTTGTATGTGGATATATATCTCTTTATGTTTGTATCTTTTATATATCTATATATTATTTTTGGAAGAACAAAGTTATGTTGTGAAGGTAATGTGACTATTTTACATGTGTTGTCAAATTTGTATGTTCTCAGCTTTAGGTGGTGATCATGAATGTTTCTAATATTGGAATTTTGTGCCATCCTATCACAAAATTACTAGGGAACAAATGACAAAATGCTTTTAAAATAAGTGAAGACAAATGCTACCTTATTGTTCTCCTCAGTGCTATGATATGGAAATATTTATGTTAGCTTTGTTGAAATCAGTAGAGGTACAATACTGTCTGGAAGATTCATTTTTTTGATGGTGATTTTTTCACTTACTATCATCATCATCAGTGCTCCTTAAAGTTATTATCATCATTTCAACATGCCAGTCTTTATCTACAGAAGTTTCTTCTCTTGCTTCCGAGTTGAGAGTTGTTGTGATCAAAACCATCTTTTAATTATGGGAGATGTTTTTTAACTTTCTGACATTCTGGAAGAGGAAGCACCTAAGCAAAGTTATCTGACTCATTTTGTTTTACAGAAGTGGCTAAGTTTCAGCTCAGCTGAACTCTGAGATAGAAATAAGGTTAATCTTAATGAACTCATGTACAGAGGCTTGCCTGGTCATTCTGAGCTAGGCAAAGTCCCTCCTGGGTACTGCCACTTTCTGCAAGCCCAGAAAAAGAAGTGATTTTCATTAGAGCATGAAATGTTAAGCCATTATGACTAGGCATATTTCAAGAATAGAGGTGAGATTGCATTTCTTGCTAGGTCTTCTCTGATAGGTTGATTTTTGTGCAGCAACAGTGGGAACCTTTGAGCCCAGCAACTTTGAGGGCCTCTTCTAAATCTGCCCAGTAGCAGGAAACTCTGTCAGATAACAAAAACTTTCCTTAGTCCATACTCTGTGGATGTGATTAGCCCCCCCCATAATGGAGCAAGTTAAGTTCCTTGTTCTGTGATCACATCTTTGAACTGTTTTTCAGCACACTTGCTTCTCTTTCCTGATTCCCTCTTTCCCTGCAAATAACTACTCACATAGGAACATATTCCACTCTTGGCTGAATGCCCAAAAATTGTGTATAAAAACAAACCTCTGTCTTCCTGCAAACTGCTAGTATCTACCACCAGGGCTAGCCTGCTGCTTTTGCATCAATAAAGCTTTCTTGACTAAGAGAATATCTGCCTCTTGCATTCTTTCTGGACTACCTAAATCCTGAACGTCATCATCTTCTTCATTCTCATTTCTCATTCCTCTTCTCCCGCATATACTTTGTTGAAGATGTCTTTTCCCTTTCTTTGAGTGTTCTGGAATCTGCTTTGTCTGAAGCCAATACAATTTGCTTTCTTTTGTTATATGTTGCGAAAGACTCTAGATTTTTATCCTGTGAATGAAAGTGGACTGAACTTGAATCAGTTAGTAGAATGGTCAATATAGGCTCTATTAGTCTGAATATAGATAGCCCCTACCATGACCATAGCATGAGATCTTTTTTGAAAGTAAGGAAAAATATATAAATATGCAGTCATAAGCATAGACCATACAAAGATCTTATATAAACCAGCTTTCAAGGAAAAGTGGGACCCATTTTCAGCCCTATTAGTCTCTTGATTGTATTAGATAGCAGTAATTAGAGAATAGGAGAGAATCTATTCTCCATTAGAGGCTTTAGGGCAGTGAGAAAATGAGAGGGGAAGCTACTAAAAAGAAGGAAATGGAATCATTGAAATGTTCTGTAATACAATAGGTTGTCTGAATCAATCAGCAAACATTTATTAAGTCCTTACTATGCTCCAGGCACTGTGATAAGCTCTTGAGATACAAAGAAAAATAAATAAATGACAGCAACAACAACAACAAAAACAGTTCCTGCCTTCAAGGAGTTTACAGCCTAATGGGAGAAGAGAACAGGTACTTGAATCAGTATTGTTGTTCAGCCATTTCAGTCTTGTCAGGACTCTTTGACCCCATTTGGGATTTTCTTGGCAAAGATACTGGAGTGGATTGCCATTTCCTTCTTCAGATCATTTTGTAGATGAGGAAACTGAGGCAAAAAGTGTTAAGTGACTTGCCCAGGATCACACAGGTAGTAAATGCCTGAGGCCAGATTTGAATTCAGAATAAAAGAGTACTTTCAAGAAAAATAGAGTTAAGTGGGAGATAGCCTTAGGGGGAAGGCACTAACAGTGAAATGTGAGCAAAGTCTTTAAGAAAGATAGGCTTTCTAAGAGTCAGAGATTGGAAGGGAGAGCACTCCATGGCAACAGCCATAGCAAAAGCACTCCTGGTGATGAAAAGCAAAAAGGCTAGCCTAGCTGAACCACACTGGTGTGTATGGAGGAAAGTAATGGGTTAAAAAAGTAGAAAAATGGGAAGGACCAGATTGCAAAGAACTTCAGATGCCAAATAAAGTTTATATTTGATGTTAGAGGAAAAAAAAATCATTTTGTCAGCTATGTGGAGGCTTGAGTGACATGTGGAGAGACTTAAGGTATGGAATCTAATTATTCAAGGCTAAAGATGATGACGTCCTGGATGGGGTGGTGGTTGTGAGAATGAAGAGGAAGGTACATTTGCAAGAGAAATCTTAATCATTTCCTTTCTTCTAGGCCAGAGAAGTAGGAAGCAAATGGGTAAAGATTTACAGTAGCTAATCAACAGATTTTTGCTTGCTTTTGTCTCTCCTGTTATGTCCTGAGGGCATCTAAGGCAATTACTGTCTTTTGCCTTTCTTTTGGGCTTAGCTAAAGGAAATGGCAAACCACTCCAGTATCTTTGCCAAGAAAACCCCAAATGGGGTCACAAAGAATGGGACACAACTAAAAAACAAATCAATAACAACAAAACAGTGCATGACACATAGTAGGAGCTTAATACATGCCTCTTAACTGTATCTGCATTAGAACCACCCTCATCTCCAAAGTCAAGAGGAGCAGAATACTCCCATAGTTTCTAGGTACCTAGAATTCTAGGTAATGCTTTCAAGAATTTTTAACAGATTAGTTCAGATTATTTGAGTTGGGGCAGGGATGGAAGGAAACTTGGTGGTCACTGGTTAAAAATAATATAAGAAAGGGAGAAAAAAAATGGAGTAATACTCCAGAAAAAGCAACCCTGTTTCAGACAGCTGGAAGTGAATTGAAACCTCCCTTTTGACTTTTTGAGACTTTGTAACAGGAACTAGTTCTAGTCCAGAAGGGGATGTCTCTTCCCAGGAGCTTTTGTACATTTTGTAGGTTTGTACATTTTTGTAGGTCGCTGGAGACTCCCAAACACCATGAACTCAGTCAGAAATACTTTCAGTGTGTTCTAAGCCACATGACCTGCTGTTTTGCAGAGGCTTCTATCATGACAAGAAATCTGTCAGACATCAGATACCAATTAGTACAGGGACAGCAAGGGAGGACATAGTGTAACATGATGGAGCTTTCTTCGATGGTGGAGCGACATTGGACATGGTGGCTTTTCTTTTTTTTTTTTATTTCTCACTATATTGTTCCAGAAAGTATTTTCATTTCCCCAAAACCTTATAGGATCCATTGAAATTTTGTGTTGCCTTCTATGTAAAGCGAACAGGATAATTATTGTTATCATTATAATCATTTAGACAACCAAAGATTATTCTGCCAGAAAAATTACCAGTGATCATTCTGCTCATCTACCATCATTTTCCAGGCTAGGGTTTTAAGCCCAATTTGTACTGGTTATTGCCTCTGCCATCATCTGAGTGAATCTGTAGAGATTCCAGAATTACCAGGACCAAAGTGCCATCTGCAGTACGGTTGAAGGTTTTCTAGGATAATTAGCCTTAGAGCTGTAGGAGTGTAGATTGTATATATTGGGTCTCATCCAAGGTATTTTACTTCAACATAGTCTTACTTGGCTAGTATTAATCAGATGAGGAGCAAGAGCAGTTAGGAGGTCAAGAGGCCATGATGGGGAATTATACTTTGTGGCAGAGTAGTGGAAAGCCAAGAGACATCAAAAATAAGAGCTGTTCTTTGCAAGCAGTCTTTCCTGCATGCCAAAAAGATTGTTGAGCAGAGATTAGGTTTTCCTGTTGGTGAATTCAGCAATAGCATAAGTGCCCTGTGGATCCATTAACCCTCCTCCATCCTATCATCCTTAAGAAGGAAAAGTGAAGGTTGTTTACTTAGCTGAGTTGTAGGAACTGTACAATGTGTTCACATTTCCTGTGTTTTCCTAAGCTTAACTAAATGTAAAATGGTAGCAAATATAATCTTAGGAAAACATAAAATTAACCAGTGACTTTCCCTTAGGTGTCAAAATTATGAATGGAGTGTTTTAATTATTTGTATGCCCTTGGCAGAAGCCTAAGTTCAAGGGTTGTTGTTTTTTTCATTCTCTAAATGAATACTTTATGTTAGTGTTTGAAGAGATGTAAAATCAACCGCAACATATTTGCATATTAGACAGTAATGCTGTTTTATACACCTTACAGGTGTTAAAAACAAGACAAACAAAACAAACCTTGTAAATTGAAGAACTGGGAGGGGTGGGTATGTCAGTGTGATTTGTCAGCCATGCTATGATGAGTCTGTAGAAACATATATTATTTGTCCCACCAATAGTTTATGGTAATCTCTACCACTCTAGCTAT